AAAATACTTTATAAATTTCTTAAATTAATTCCATATGCTCCTTAAATATGTGCAATTGTTATTAATATACTTCTTCAGTGCTTTATGCAAAGTGCTTGATTCTCTTCACAGTCAATTAAGCCCTCTGCTGTTCAAATTGCTGTAATCATTGTAACATGCAGTGGTTTTAAGGATCACAGACCATGTCTTTTACTCATAAAAATCTTATTTTAAATTTTGAAAAACTGAGTGTAGGTCTTTCCAACAATACACATCAAGATAATTTTATATCCTCACTCTCTTGTCTCCAGCACGGAACCATGTCACACCTCAGCAGCACATGTTTAGATGAGTTTCTACGTGTAACCACAAAAGGGTTGCCTGGGTTCTCTGGGAAGCCAAATGGTGCAGGTAAGAGGGAGCACAAGCAGCTCTCTGCTCCTTGTGTGGTTTCAAGACAGCTTTTTTCCACCCATAACCCAATAACAAAACAGTACAGACAGAAACTGCAACATCTCTGCTTCTCTTTGGAACCACCGAGATCAAGTGTCACTGCGATGCCCAACCTCATCCTCCAAATACTGAGGCACGGGGGATTGAAATTGAACAGAGGATTCAAAAAAGAACGGTGGACGAGTTACAGGTTCATCTCACAGACCTCCTGGGAGCCCTGCAGGAGGTGGGGCCAGGACTTTGCACAGCTTGCTCTTCCCTAAGGAACAGTGACTCTGTGCTGAGCCAAAGGGCTGCGGGACACTGGCAGAGCTCCTCTCCAGGAGACACTGCCTTCAGTCCAGGTGGGTGCATCTCCTGCTCCTCCCCACTATTCCCCATCTCCTGCTCCTCCCCACTGCCCATCTCCTGCTCCTCCCCACTGCCCTTCTCCTGCTCTTCCCCCACTATTCCCCATCTCCTGTTCTTCCCCACTGCCCATCTCCTGCTCCTCCCCACTACTGCCCATCTCCTGCTCCTCCCCACTGCCCATCTCCTGCTCCTCCCCACTGCCCATCTCCTGCTCTTCCCCCACTATTCCCCATCTCCTGCTCTTCCCCACTGCCCATCTCTTGCTCTTCCCCCACTATTCCCCATCTCCTGCTCTTCCCCACTGCCCATCTCTTGCTCTTCCTCCACTATTCCCCATCTCCTGCTCCTCCCCACTGCCCATCTCCTGCTCTTCCCCCACTATTCCCCATCTCCTGCTCCTCCCCACTGCCCATCTCCTGCTCTTCCTCCACTATTCCCCATCTCCTGCTCCCTCCCCACTGCCCATCTCTTGCTCTTCCCCCACTATTCCCCATCTCCTGCTCCTCCCCACTACTGCCCATCTCCTGCTCCTCCCCACTACTCCCCATCTCCTGCTCTCTCCCCACTGCCCATCTCCTGCTCTTCCCCCACTACTCCCCATCTCCTGCTCCCTCCCCACTGCCCATCTCCTGCTCTTCCCCCACTATTCCCCATCTCCTGCTCGCTCCCCACTGCCCTTCTCCTGCTCTTCCCCCACTATTCCCCATCTCCTGCTCTTCCCCCACTATTCCCCATCTCCTGCTCGCTCCCCACTGCCCTTCTCCTGCTCCTCCCCACTACTCCCCATCTCCTGCTCTTCCCCACTCCCCAGCTTAGTCTTTTTTGGACATTTCACCTAAAAGCTGGCTTAACTAAGCCAAGGCCAAGTATCCGAGATGCTGTGATCTGTTTGCCAACTGGCAGTCTGGGATTAAATCAGCCCTACCTCGTGCTTTCTGCAGCCTTCAAACACACCTAGCATTTCCTCAAAAGATTACTTAGAAATTTGCCATTTGTGGGAGCACTTTCAATGGCCTGCACTTCAACTCCTTACTTCAAGAATTTGGGAAAATATCAAAACATTGCTACGATGTGAGATGTTGGTTTTGTTAGTTTTATATCTTCCCAAAATCTGTGATGGGATAGGGTAGAATTAGAAAATTGTGAGGTAGATTTTCACTCAAGAGCTCTCAAATCTGTCTTTTCTAATAAATAAGGCAAAGATAACATAAACAGGAGTGTCAAGAAAACAGTACCATATTAATTTTACCTTTTTTCCCTATGCCTTTCCTGTTTTCTCTACTCCTTTTCAGTCATCTTCTTCCTTTTTATTATTTTAATAAGGCCTAATTATGGGGAGGGGGGGAGTTTAGCACATGTGAAGTAATTTTAAAATCTGAATGTAGTTAAATGCGTGTGCATCTGAATAATCAGTGTATCCCAAGGCAACCTAATGTGCACTGCATTTTGCTACACAATTGGTTTTAGAAAATAATTTTCATAATTACAATTGTTTCAGTTTAATGGTATGGGTAATTATTGTGGGCAAGCATTTATTTCTAAAGTATTTTTCTTTTTTCTGTAAAAAATTTAATAGAAAAGGAGTATTGTATTTTGAGAGCTTCTTGGCATTTTAAAAAGTCATAACCAAGATAAAGTATAACTATTTTTGAAGATGTAGATTCTCTTTAGCAGCATGAATTTTCTACTAATCTTGTAATAACTCAATCAAATTCAAACAATAAATATTCTAGCTGCCTCTTAGAAAAGTCTTCTCTGAAGTTTCTGTTCTTTGCACAGTGGAACTAGGATTTCATCTAATGGAATTGCACTGTCAACATAAACAAAAGTCAAACACCTTGACAAAATATTTTTAGCTTCTTCAAGAAAACTGCAGTACAGAAGTACACTTAGAACATTGAATATTACTTTCTGCTCTTTTATTTCACGTGCTGAAATTCTTATATTTCAAATAACAGTAAAGCAGTTAATTGGAACAGAAATGCCTCTCTACTTCTGATGTCTTAGTGACCGTGTTCTTTCTTACATTACTTTGTTTTTTGGATCCTGGATGTTTAATATATTATGATGCCAAAACATACTGTTTCTAAGCAGCTAAAAACATAAGAAGAAAGATTGCTAGAGCTAAACTATTACTTGCTGTGTTCTTAATGTTTTACAGGTGTGTGGTGCATGTGAGCTGCATTAAACTACTGACCAGTTGATCACAGTTTATTCACCACACACATTTATTTGTGCCCTCTTTCTCTCAACCTCCAGCAGCTGGACGTTCCTTGCAGGTATTGTGGCCCTTGGAGAGCTCTCACTGGAGCAGAATTGTTTGAACAGGAGGAAAAATAGGGAGGGACCTTAATCCCCAACCCCATTCTGCTGCTGAAGGAGCAGGAAAAGAAGTTGAGTTGGGCCCAGGAAAAGATGGGGAGGAGCTATTGGGGTTTATTTTTGTTTCTGTTTCTCACTATCCAAATGTATTTTAAATAGCAGTACATTTAAATTCATTTTGGCTGGCTTTGTTCTGCCCTAGATGGTGTCCAGTAAGTGATCTTCCTGCCCTTTACCCTGACCCATGAACTCTTCCATCCTATTTTCTCCCCTTGTCCTCCTGAGGGTAAGTGGGGTGAGCATTGGGGTGAGTGTTTGGATGCTGGCCAAAGGTTATCCACATTATTTACATTATCCACCACATTATTTACATTTCTATTAAACAAGATCTATTTTACTCAGATTAAATTATAGCTGAGCATAAATTGATTTTTTACTTTGCATTTCTATTGCATATTCTAAAATTATTAAATCCAATCTCTTTTTATAGGCTGTCTCTTCATTGCTACAAGTGACAGAGTGTTTTATCAAATAGAAAGATGAATGTCCTGCTGCATTTTCCTTCGTGTTAATACACAATTCCTCTGGGAAAGACTTCAAACAGAAAGTCAAGGACCTTTGAGCTTGTCCTCAGATTCTCCATGGGTACAGAGGTAGGATTTCTGATTATTTCAGTCCTCCTAAATCTGTCGTTTCTTTGTGAACCAGCAACAAACTACTAAAGAATCTACCAAAATCTATGGTTGTATGACTGGGATGAATCTACAGTTTCAAAGATGATGGTAAGAAGTGTTTAATTTTGCTGATTGACTGTGAGCTACACATTGCATCTGTTAAAAAGAGTTTTGGTACAAAAAAAATCTGAAAAGAAACTGATTTACTATACTTTTGCATGTCCCTTTCTAATACATGTAGAGACCAGAAAAGCACTTGAACACAGTTAACTTGCCCTTCTCTCCAGGTGGCATTCTTGGGTGTAAGCAGTTCATGGTGTGAGGGATACATGTGATTTTATTCTTCTCCCTGTGAACTGTGGAGCATCTCCAAGGCTTAGATAATTTTTTGTATTGTTTTACTGAAGGAAGCCAAAAGTTGAAACTGGCTATTATGGAAATCACAAAGAGCTACCCAAAGCTACAGTATGTGCATAGAGCCAGTATTTATGCTTTATACCTGTCTGCAGTCTGGGAGGATCCCTCATCTGAAGAAGCCATTTGAAATGTATGGACCTAGATTAAGACAGTTTTTTCAGGCATTCTCTACAGAGATAGTTGCTGGCAAGGGGCACTTAATCTCAAAGTCTGTCTGCATTAATGTTTTATAGAGCCCAGACAATCACTTTCAGCCATGCATTCAAGTTTTGATTTATCATAATAGCCTCCAATGCAATGAATCCATAATCAATCATAATATTTCATTAACTCTGGATGATTCAATTACGTGATAACTTTTTGTAAAGCCTACAGGAAGTTAAAATGTCTTTATATTTTACATTTATTTCAATATTTAAATATAGATCTGAATAATTTCTGTTTGATCTGATAAAATTATTACTTTTAATAGTGTATTTATTTAGTTTTATTTATTACTTACTGTTTCTATCATACTGTATTTCTCTTAGGAAGAAAAGCCTGAAAATTTAATACAGAAATTTTTTTTTTTTTTTTGTCTTTGATAAAAATTTTTGCATTTTATTCTAAAGTGAAATAATAGGATTCTTTTAATCATAACAAACTGAAAGGAATCCTGAAGAATCAGAAGCCTGAAGGCAGGCTTTATCTTTGTGTCACAGAGGAAAACAATTAGCTGCTACTCTGACAAAATATCTGCACTTCTTGTGCATTCAGTCACAGCTACCAACATTGTAGTAGAATTGTAGTAGAATCTTCTCTCCCATGGAATGCACCAAGAGAAGTCTTTTCCTGGTTTTCACCATCTCTTTTACAATATATTTGATTTCCTATTTTTATACTTCTCACCTTGCTGCTCGACCTAAAAGTAATGATCTTCACATGGAAAGTGAAAAGAGTTTACTTAGAAAATTATCGACACATTTCAAACAAATCTCAGGGAAACAAAACGGAGAACTACCACCTGAAAATGAGAAATCTGGAAATAAAGCCACACCCACACCTGAAAATGAGAAATCTGGGAATAAAGCCACATCCACTCGAACACAGCTATTTGCATTCATTATTAATGAAGAAGAGAAGTGTAAAGCTAGAACACCTTTCTTGGTATTGCTGATATCAACAACAGCAACCGAGCTGCAGCACAGAAATGCCATCCGGAAGAGCTGGGGCAGCGAAGCCGCGGTTCCCGGCGCGGATGTCGTTCGGCTGTTCATGCTGGGCAGAGACGCCAAGGGTGACAACGGGGACGTTCTGCTGAGAGAAAGTGAGCAGTATCACGACATCATCCAGCAGGACTTCCTGGACACTTACAACAACTTAACTCTTAAAACTCTGATGGGCATGAGCTGGGTGGCCACCTACTGCAGTGGCACGAGGTTTGCAATGAAGACAGACAGTGACGTTTTTGTCAACACGATGCACCTGATTGAAAAGCTCCTCAGGCCTCTCCCACCTCTAACACAGAATTATTTCACAGGCCATTTAATGACAGGGCACAGCCCTATTCGGAATAAAGCCAGTAAATGGTACATATCAGAAGAAGAATTCCCAGAAAACAGATACCACCCTTTCTGTTCGGGAACTGGCTACGTCTTTTCTGGAGACCTGGCTGCAAAAATTGTAGATGCTTCTTTAACGATTAAACTTATACATTTGGAAGATGTTTACGTAGGGTTTTGTCTTAATGCAAAGGGCATAGAAATAGCACCACCTCCTTATTCACTGTTTAACATACACAAGGTCCCATTTTCTCCTTGTGTGTACAATAAACTAATTACATCTCATTACATTGAGCCACATGAGCACATAATCTATTGGGAAACACTGCAAGAGAAGAAACACACGTGTCAGGAAAGAAAGATCCATCCTGGAGCATCCTAGGAACTTGCTTTGACAATGGGCAAAGCAGCAGATTTTTTCTCAGTAGCAACAGAACATCTGTGTAATGATAACTTTCAAGGTCCACGGGCATCCTGAATCAGGTGCCTAGGTTTGTATTAGGTTGAATTCAAAGGATTTTTCCTCCATAAAGAAGCCTTTCTGTGTTGAGTGAATTCCGATTTACCTTATTTAGTTTTGGATGAAGCATCAATTAATTTTTAAAGCCAGCAAGAGACTATATCAACCCTACTGAAGAAAAAGCAAAGATGATGCAATAAAGCTCGTTCTTTCATTAAAAATGAATAAGTTAATTCATACTGCTCGGATGTAATTTGCTTATGTACCATTAAATGTACTCATGTGGCATTCCAGTGTGACCAAAGAAGAGAGCATACAAGATATCCTGTGCTGGGGAATTAGTGCCAGAAATGTGGGCAGAAACTGCTTCTTCAGAAAATCTGACATTAGCATTTCCCAGATCTCAGTGCCCAGAGAGGCTACTACTCTCTGTGGTTACATATACATAGAAAACCTCACACACAAGATACCACTTATTTGTTATCATGGAGATGTAATAAAAAGAGGAAAATTAAATGCAGATTGTCCTGTCAGTGGTATATTAAATTACATTTTAGGGCATTCGGCTGTGTATGAAATATCCTCATAGTTAAGTAAAAAATAAGATGGTGCTTACTAACCTCAGAAGATAAAAGTTTCAGTCCAAATCTCTATCAGATGCACGTGGAAATCAAAATGTCAATCACATGAACACCAAACACTTCAGCTGGAAGTGAGAAAGTGAGTATACATTATATGCATCCCCAGTGACGTTTTGTAAATGTACATGATGGTGTTTGATGAAGAAGCCCCTGAATCCTGCAGTGCAATCTTTGTGTGCTCTGTGCAGCTCCATTCCACGCAGGACTGACAGACAGTGGGAACCTGTGGTGCAACCACTGAACACAATGCATTTCTCCCTTACAGGAATTTGGTCTTAGACCTTTTTATTAAGAAATATTATTACTCAGCTAGCTAATACCTACACAGGAAAATTTTTCTATCTCAAATGGACACCTATTCATCTGGACTTTCAAGACCTTTTTGTGTTTACCTTGGGGAAGATACAGCTAGCAAGGACAACTCTCCCTCAGGGCTTTCCTGGCCCTGAGGTCTCCCAGTATTTGCTAAAATTTTAAAAGTTTTACAGGAAGTTATGTTTTAAAAATGAGTCTTTTTGGACATAATTTGTTGATTACTTGACAGAAGCCATGACATCTTGTGATGCCTAGACAGGCTGAACCTGGAACAGAGACTAGACAGAACTAAAGGAATAAAGTAGTTATTTATTAAAAGGCCTCAATGAATACACCTTGGGCAGCACAAGAGCCTGCCCAGGGCTACACCCAAGATGGACCCAAAATGGTCACAAAAATGGACGACTGGCCTCTCACTTTTATAAGTCTTGGTTCATTTGCCTATTGGGGTTAATTGTCCAATTACAGCTTCAGGTTATGAAGTTCCATCCTCCTTGTTGCTCTCTTCAGTTCTCCATTGTTTATACTTTTGGGCCTGAAAATTGTAATGGTTGTCCTTGATCTCAAGCTGGAATAGGATTGTTTTGTCTACCTACCTTGTGAAGAGAACTTACTGACACTTCATATGAAGCTCAGAGCTACACCCCTAGGCAGCACAGAATCTGAAAAACATGAAAGCTAAAACTTAAGGCATCACTTGTATAGCTGACAACGTTATCTTACATTAAACAATGCAATGAGCTCAGCTCTGCAGTCTGTTCCCTTTACCTGGGTGGAGAGCACCATGTCATGCATGGTTGTGCAGTAACAACCCATAAAGGTGAGCAAAACCAAACAAACTCAACCCTCACATGTTCTCCTATTGCCTGGATGGCAATAAAGTTCTCCAGGTCATTCAGTAATTCCTGAAGATGGGGCCCAGCAGAAAAGGACTTGGAGGTGCTGGCTGAGAGCAGCTGACCAAGAGCCAGCTGTGCCAAGGATGCCAAGGGCATCCTGGCTTTTATCAGGGATAGTGTGGCCAGCAGGACCAGGGAAGGGATTGTCCCTCTGTACCCAGCACTGGTGAGGCCTTACCTCAAATCCTGTGTCCAGCTCTGAGCCCCCCAGTCCAAGGAAGACTTTGAGATGCTGCAGTGAGTCCAGAGAAGGACAACCAAGCCTGGAAGGGCCTGGAGCACAGGTCTGATGAGGAGCCTGGAGAAAAGGAGGCTCAGGGGAGACCTTATCCTGTTCTACAACTGCCTGAAAGGAGGTTATAGAGAGGTGGTTGGTTTCTTCTGCCAGGCAACCAGAGATAGGAGGAGAGGGAATGGCCTCAAGCTGCACCAGGGGAGATTCAGGTTGGCCATCAGCAATAATTTCTTCATGGAAAGGAGCTGTCAAGCATTTGAACAAGCTGCCCAAGGAAGTCGTGGAGTCAACATTGCTGGAGGTGTCCCAAGAAGTGACAGGACGTGGCATGTAGCATTCAGTGGTGTGGTTTAGTTGGCATGGAGGTGCTTGGTGAAAGACTGGACTAAATGATCCTGGAGGCATTTTCCAACCCTAATGATTCCATGATTGTATAAGATAAGGTAATGGAGGCTTCACCACACCCTGAAGCTGAGTGCACAAGCAGCGTAATCACTAACATTATGCATTAACAAAGACTGGCCAGCTGTACAAATAAAAGGCTATAAAGATACTAATCCCTTGCTTTTCTGTGGAGTCTGCCACACCACTGTACATTTATGGAAACAGTGAGAGTTTATAAATCCTAGCAGAAATAAATACCAAACCTAAAGCTATTAAAAGCTATAGACTTGCCAGCAAAATGAACCAGTTCATCAGCCAGCCCATACTGGTGAAAGGATACAAGAAATAGGAGAAGTGATCAGTAGGATCAGTAATTGGTGTGCACATGAAGTAGTTCTTACTCTTTCATTTCCACAGTTTGCCTCCCAGTCTCTCTGCTGGTTGGCATGGGCCAGCTCCAAATCATAACAGTTTAAAGTCTAGATTTTGTAGAAAATTTAGTTCACAGGAATGTCAAATGCTTATTTTTTTTAATTAATGAAATAGAAATATTTGCCTTTTTAAGCTTCTTAGGAGTTTATATTTGTGTTAAATTACCATTATTGACATCCTTGCATTGGCAGTGGAGGCAATAATTAAGTATATAACAATATTATCATTAATATTTTCAATTAACTTCAGAAAATGAAAATAAGCAAAATCTGGGTGATCTCATAACTTAATATGAATTAATAAATTAATATGAATTATTAAATCATTTCCTGTATCACTGCAGTGCATACCATACAAGCACAAAGAACAGTGGCTGAAATTTTGAAGTGCTGCTCTTTAGACATTTATTCATTGTACATCTGTTTCAAGGTGGGTAGGGTTGTTTCTAATAGAATATCAAGAATATGCAACCATATTTCATGCATATTGCTTAGTTTTATAAATTCTACATTTATAGCACTACCTTGAAGAAGTATTTTTATAACCTTGAGGTACAAATTGATGTACCTGCATAGAGCTGCTTCATGTTATTAATTCATTTCCAGATTTTAGTGGCTGGTTTCCATTGGATATCAAGCAGAATTCAATGCTGCAAAATTTCAGGTCAGTGTTCCAAAATTACAGAATGATTGCTTTCAGTCCTAACTCTCTAGAAACTAGAGAATTGTGTGTTACCTCTGCTGCATTTGATGTCATTTCAGTTTTCCTTCACTGCTGAAGCCTAACATTTATTTGTTCTTTAGCTCTTTTTGGTGCATGGGTAAATAAAGTGGTGTAATATTCAGTAATATGCATTTGTATACTTGGAAGTTGTTAAAGTGTAGTTGTGGTATAAAGTTGGTTGTGAGAGAGAAAATATCAATGCTGGGAAATGACCGCTCTTAATTTCTGAGACAAACTGCCACAACTTCACTAATTCATTTCCACTGCAGGTTTTAAAAACTCAAGAACTTTATGCTTTTTACTTTGTACGTGAATTCATGTGTGTTGTGGAATTGGAGTGGAACAGTTAAGGAAACACACTGCATGCCATTGAAGGAGTTCTTGAGACTTTTTTATTGCAGAATAGGTAACACATTTTCATAGGTTCCTGCTTTGCTGGAAATTCCCTGGAGAATGAAGCAGTTATTATCAGCTAGCACTTCCCTCTCTGGGTCTGTGACTCTGCGTACCAAATGCTTGGGCTGTGCTAAGGCAGTGCTGGGGAAGAGGGCCGTCTTTGGGTTGTTGATAGAAGTGAGCCAGGAGGAAAAATACATACAGGTAGCACAGATAGAAATAATCTTTTTTTCACAGGTCCACATTTCTCCCTCTTCTGAGTGAACTGTTGCCTGCTCAAACCCCTCTGTTCAACAGTCATTTGACCCTGCTCATTCTAGAACTTCATCATCCCTTCTCCAGCACTGAGCCTTGAGACTCCTCTTCCTCAGTCTGGTCTCCAGTCCAATTAGGCTTGTGTTACATTTCTGATAATCATGAGAAAAAAGTATGTGAACATAAGATTGCCTGTAGGATGACCATTAAAGAATGGCCTCCCTGGCCACTGAGGGACCGTGCATACTGTCTCATTCAGGGATAATGTAGCGGTGCTTAGGCTGGTCTTGGAAGATCAAAATCCCACTAGAATGCAGTCTGTTTGTGAAGATAATCCAGAGGAAGCAAACCTGTTCTGCTTTCAACATGAAAGACAGCATTATTCTGAACAGCTGAACTTTGTGATACATTATTCATGGGTTATTAGAACTTCTGCTTCATCAGAAGCTGCTGTTAGTTTTTACTACCTTGCTTGTCTTCCAGCAGATTTTGAAGAGAACTAAGTGTTTGGTTCACAATGATTGCCTTGCATTCATTTTAGGGACTCCAAGTGTCTCCAGCTGTCTTTGTGTTTGCTTTAGCAAATCTTCTGGGGCTAATGAGCAATTAGAAATTCATTAAGCCTGGAGAAATACCGGGTCA